GCCCTCGTCGCGCGCGCTGGCGATGCTGAGGCGGCCCTCGGCGCCCGCCGCCGCGCACGCCTGCACCAGCGGGTCCCAGTAGAGGCTCAGCGTGGAGCGCTCGGCACGCTCCAGCTCGCGCAGCTCCTGCATCTCGCGCGCGCTCACCGCCGGCGTCTGCACCTCGAAGGTCAGCTCGAAGCGGCTGTAGTCCACGCGGAAGGCGCCCTTCTCCAGGGACATGCACGGCTCGAAGCGGTAGCCCCACAGGATCTCGTCCTCCGTGTAGGAGGTGCGCGCTTGGCACGTCATCCCTGCAAGGCGGCGAGCGGCGCTGCGGCCCGGCGCACGCACGGCACCGGAGCCGTCCCACGGGCAGCCCGGCCCGCCCGGCACTCACCTGTGGCCTCCACGATGCCCTCCAGGATGACGATGATCTCGAACTGCTCCCGCTTCAGCGAGTCCGCGGACATCTCCCAGAAGGGGCTGTGCTGGTTGATGACGTGGCAGACGATCTGCGGCTCCACCAGGAACAGCCGGTCCTCGCCCGTGTCGTAGCCCAGGTTCAGCTCCGACTGCTCCAGGGGGATGAACTCCCCCTCTTTGGTCTGCCGCGACTTGATCAGCTTGGCCCTGATCTTGGCGTCGACCATGTGGCTGTCGCGGAGGTCCCCGATGCGGAACATGAGGCAGAGCTTCTCGTCCCGGTGCGAGATGACACAGTTTTTGCTGAAGATTAAGGTCTGGGCGCGCTTCTTGGGCCTGGAGATCTTGACGAACATGCAGCCCACCATGAGGGCGTCGATCATGGAGCCGATGATGGACTGCACCATGAGCAGAATGACGCCCTCGGGGCAGTTGGCGGTCACCATCCGGGAGCCGTAGCCGATGGTCCTCTGACTTTCCACAGAGAAGAGTAAGGCAGAAAGGAAATTGTCCACGTTCTCGATACACGCCTTCCACTCCGGGTCGCCCATGTGGTGGACATCGCCCCGGAGCCAAGCATCCACGAAGTAAATGATGCCGAAGAGCAGCCACGTCACAATGTAGCACATCATGAAAACGAAGAGGAACCAGCGGTACTTGAGGTCCACGATGGTGGTGAAGATGTCGGAGAGGAAGCGCTTCTTCTCCTGGATGTTGCCCAGGTTCACCTGGCACTTGCCCATCTTGGTGACGTAGCGCTGGCGCTGCTGCTTGCTGCCCAGGCCCAGGAGGCGCTCGCCGTCCATGAGCTTGCAGCGGCGGCTCGGCGGCCCGTCGCCGCCGGGCACGGACGCCACGCTGCGCGTGGGCGTCTTGCTGCGCGCCGAGTTGGGGATGTTGGGCACGCTGAGCGCGTGCCGCGGGTACCAGCGCGCGGCCGCATCGCGCGGCGGCTCCAGGCGCGACGCGCGCCGGTACCGCGGCAGCTCCTCCGCGTTGATGGACACGCTGGGCCGGTGCTTGGCGGCCTCGGAGTCAGCGCCGCTGGCCCGGCTGGGCGCCAGCGAGCGCTCGCTGGGCGCGCGGGCGCCGCACGGCAGGGGGAGGTAGTTGGGGAGCAGGGCACTTCTCTTGGCGGCGGGGGCGCCGGCCGGC